GCGCTGGGCGGGACTGGACAGCGAGAGCATCACACTAGAATATATATAGAACGATTCTATATCGGATGCACCACGAAGATTAGAACACACCAGGGATCAACGGAAGGCGTTCCAGTAGAAGCGAGAGTGAAGCAGGGATGTCCGCTGCCACCTATAGCGTTCAACATGGCCATTGAACCGCTACTACGAGCCATCCGCAATACGACAGATCGTCAATAACGTGCTGGCGTATGCGTATGACCTTGTGCTGATGGCCATAGCGCAGAGGGACTGCGAAAAGTGATAGACACCACAGCTACGGTCTCCAAATGGAGCGGACTGTGGTTCAACACCAGGAAATGCGCCACGTTGCATGTGGATGACAAACCCCACAGAGCCATTGCTACGACCCTTAGCCTGAATGGAGAAACAATAAAGACCCTGGATATGGACCAATCGTATGGATATCTAAGCTTCTCAACGGATTTTCAGAGTTTCAGTTCGGCTGACGAAGTTATCACGACGATGAGGAGACATACGGAACAACTCAACAATTCTCTACTGGCCCCGTGGCTCCGATGATGGCGTCGCAGAAGCAAGTCTGGCAGCGCTGAAGGAGGTTGTTTGAAAGAAAACCATCAGGAAGGCCACGCCAAAGGAACTGGTTGACTTCATCAACGGATCAGACAAATGATTGATAGGTAAACCGAGTAACGATATCAGTTCCACATGGACGAGACATAAAGCAGCCGCCTGACGCCTCGAGGGCAAAATTAACTTTTTCCTCAAACTGGACTCATTGCAAGTGAACGACAAGCGTGACGAGAGACAAAAATCAGAACGCACTAAGAACAGCGCCATGGAGTCACTTCCGCAACAAGCTTATACTCAAACCCGACCAAGAAAAAAGTAATAAAAGTGACTTCAGCCAACTCTGTCTCCAACCACTTCATTCAAGATGGTTGTTTTACGAGATTTGCCAACTGGCGTTTTATACATAGAGCCCGCCAGAACATACTGTCATTGAACGGGTGCCGAAGATTCGGCTAAAACGACAAACGATGCAGACGATGCGGCCACCAGAACGAGACGCTGCCGCACGTGCTGAACCACTGCCGTCCACAGTTTTCCAATTTTTGTAAGAAAGGTAAGTTTATTTATCTATATAGGATTTGAATTTCATGTGATTTATCTCTGAGTAATATAAATTGTATTAGTTATTAAACAAGTTAAATAAAATGTGTTATATTTATTGCAGAAGATTGTCAACCAAAGCCATTTTTTACAATGCACTTTACAGTGCAAAAAGTTGCAGGAACATCACTTAATAAAGAAATCGTAATTCAAAATGAAATAACCTCATTGCATTCTGAATCGCTAGATGGTTCATCTCTCATTGAATATAATTTAAAGTTATTTTATACAGGTTATACTTGAAATTTCAGTAAAATTAATAGATTCAATTAAAACTTTAGTGGATCTATCTGCACATGAAGATGTTCCACTTGTGCCAGATTCTCCAGATTTTTCGGTTACTTCAGATGTTCCTGCCAAGCATATCTCTATAAGACGATCAGGTATACAAATATATATATATATATATATATATATATATATATATATATGTGTGTGTGTGTGTGTGTGTTTATTTTATTGTTATTAATCTAAGTACTTTCTTGAAGTTTGTTGGCATAAGGCACTGCAGGCGACTTACTCCAGAAGTAAAGAAATGCCATGACATAATCATGATGATGAAGAGAAGTGCCAAAAGACTTATGAAAGATAATGAAATTGGCAGAGCAGAGCTGAAGGAAGCATGCAGTAAAGGCAGCATGCAGAATTTAGAAAATGTTGAGAATTCACTCACTGCAACCTTAATAAAATGCCAGTTGAGGAATCAGCCAAAGCAGCCTCAAGGTAGAAGGTATAACTTTGATGAAAAGGCCCTTGGAATAGCATTATATAAGCAGAGCCGAACGCGCTATAAATATTGAAGATCCTTTTTGGCTCTACTTTCTAAAAGTACTGTTTCTAGATCATTTGCAACAATTCCTATCAGTGCTGACATTAATAAATTTTTCATGGAGACCTTGCGCACTTCTGTTCTTAAGATGAATCCTTCCAATAGAAACTGTGTCCTCATGTTCGATGCAATAAGCATTGCAGCAGGTATTGAATATGATGCAAGTAAGGACAGCATAATTGGTTTTGAGGAAGTCTCTGGCCAAAGTTTGCTGATCATACTTTAGTGTTTATGATTAAAGGCATTCGTGGACATTTTAAAACTTCAGTGGCATTTTACTTTGCTGAAAGCAGTGTTAGAAGTCCTGAACTCAAGGTCTGCATTAAAAATGTTATTTCAAACCTGCAGCAAATTGGCATCTATATATTAGCTACTGTGTGTGATCAACATGCCACAAATGTAGCTGCAATAAACATGCTGCTTATTGAGACAAGAGCACAGTTTCTTAGAGATGATCGAATTTGCAAACTTCAAGGTTTTCTTGTAAGCGGTCAAGAAATTGTACCACTATATGATCTTTCATACATGCTGAAATGTTTACGAAACATCAGGTAAGTTTTATGCAAGAAAACCGACAGAAAAGGGCATCCTGGAATCATATAATTAAATTTTATGAAACTGATTCAGTGTTATAAGTTGCGAACACATAATGTGTATCCTGAAAAAATGAGAAAGATGAAAGTGAATGATGCTGCAGTAGTTTTCTCTTATAGCGTATCTTCAATGATGAACAGATACGCTACTAAGCAGTGTAAGTAAATGAAAATATTGTATGATGTATTTTGTGGCATTTATAATGAAACTTCTTTTATTCATATTCTAGATGATAATTTTCCCCAAGAAGCTACTGGGACTGCTGCATTCCTGAAATTTGTGGATGAACACTTTGACAGTGTAAATGGGACAGCTTCCAGTTCTGCTAGGGACTATAAACCTCTACGCGGCGTTCTCACAGATAAGTCTAAACATTTAACATTTTGGAAAAAGGCTAAGCGTGTCTTAAAAGGCATAAGCTTATATAAATAAAAACAAGAGAGGTAAAATTCCTCCAACTATTCGAAATTGGATTAAAACTCTAGAGGGTTTTGAATATATTTGGCAGAAAATAAAATCACCAGAGATGAAATTTTTGTCAACTCGTAATTTTAACCAAGATCCTCTAGAATTTTTTTTGGTAATATTAGAAGTCATGATGTTAATAATCGCAATCCTACTTGCAGTGCATTTATTGTATCCTACAAAAGCCTTGTTGTCAATAAGTTTCATTCTGTTCATTCTTATTCTGCCAATTGTGAGCTTGACAAAACTAAAGGAGTTATTGATTCATTAAAAACATTATTATTGAGTAATGCTTCAGTCAATGTTATGTGTGAGTCTAGCTTGAATGAAGATATTCTAACTTTATTTAATGTGAATACTGATGAATTTACATTAGAAGAAGAAAGTAGTAGTTTACTTCATCTTCAAGTTATCACATACATGACTGGCTTCATTTCCAGGAAAATGTTGAAAAATGTTAAATCTTGCTGGATGTGCAAGATTCATATTTGGCAACAGAAAAGAGTGGAGAAGATTATTGGTTAATGAGGGTTAGGGATCGGACTGGAAGGTCTCTTGTCTTTTCTTGTAGAAGCTTTGTGAACATTTTTTCAAAATGCGTTAGAGTCTCAGAACATTTTTTGCCTAAAATTTGTGTGAAGAATAATTTAAAAACATTGCTTAGTTGCATTTTGGTTAAACTTGTTTTTACTCAAAATTTTAATTGTCCAATCCATAATTTAAAGTTAATATTTTTAAACCATTTTGTTCCTTATTTTATCAAATATTGGGTTAATGATATTAATTCAACACTACGCGGTAAAATGACTTTCACAAATCCTATGAATGTTATGAAAACAAAAGCTTTATTGCGTTTTGATAAAATGAGAAAGAGACAACCGGCAATTCGTAACACTAAGCGTGGCCTGCGCTAATTTTTGTTTTCATCTGGTAAAGCGGAGGTTTTAGTTGGTATTATTTGTTGAGTCCAACGTACCCAGACATAGGGCCTGGTCTGGGATGCGTAAATGCATTTCCTTCGCTATACAAGAAAAAAAAACACACACACACACATATATATATATATATATATATATATATATATCACTTAATAGGAGCCACTAAATTCTGATAACATGGCGGATGGGTTTTGACGTTTAAAAAGCACCTACGCTCTGAAGTTGGCTCCGGGATAGAGCATAACCCATATACTCTTCTTTTATCTATGGCATAACCTGTTATTTCGTGGAATATTTAGTTCCGCGTTCTTTTCTCATTTTTGTGGGTATAGCGTCGCGTCGGTTTCGTTTCAAGTAAGCGTTTTATTATATTTTCTGCTTTTTCTTTTCGTGTAATTAGAATTCTTTCGTTCTGTTGCTATTTCTAATTCTATTCTTTTTTTTTATTTGTTTATAACAGTTTTTTTCACATATTTCAGTTCGGTTTTTCGGTTTTTCGTTTTTTTTGCTCTGGATCGCTTTCCTTGCGTTGCTTTTTTTGCTCTAGTAAGCTTCTTATTATAACTCATGCTTATTTTTCATATTACATAGTTACAATAAGTGTTTTTTAGGATTTTTTACTTAGATTGCGTAAGTTTCTTTCTAGTTTAGTTACGTGTTTTTTTTAGATTTTTACTTAGCTTGCTTGCGTAAGTTTATTTTTAGTTTCATATTTTTACTATTTAGATACTTACTTTTATTTCGCTTTAGGTTACATTCTATTTTATAAGCTTATTTTTAGATTTTGTTCATTTACATTAGGTTACATTCTATTTTATAAGCTTATTTTTAGATTTTGCTCATTTAAGTTTATATTTAGTTTAGAATTAATATCATTTAGATACTCACTTTATATATTTACTTTTTAGCTTCTAATTTTCTTTACATTTATTACGATACGTTTTATTGCCTTCATTACTTTTATTTTATATTTCACTTTATTACTTTACTTATGTGGCAACATGGACAGCAACTTTTTCTGTACCGAGTGTCAGATTCCATTCACAGCTCGTAGCTCCTTGTATCGCCACATGAGACAAAAACATGACAAAGAGCCAAGAGCTGTTTATCCCAATGCGTGTGCTTTCTGCCTTAAAACTTTTAAATTTAAATATTTATTAACTCGTCATGTGAGCCAAGTTCATAATAATATCCCTAACCCTTCACCTGCCCAGTCTTCTTCGGTATCTTTTGAAGACATTACACACCTTTCCTCCTCCACTAAAACAAATATAAAGCATCCTTCTTTACCCACCTCATATACTACTACATGTTTGACATCACCTTACAATTTGCTTTCACCCACATCAGATCCTCTTCACAAACATCCCCACGTAAGTTTATCGCCACATCCTTGTACTTCCTCTACCAAAGTTCAAATTCACACGCCTCCCATTCCCAGTTCCCCAATCAGTACTAAGGAAAATTTTACAGGTATGTAGTGCTTTTATATATGCACATTCATTTTATTTATTATTGTGTTACATATAAATCATTTTTGTAGGTACACCATCAACAAAAGAGAAACTAAGATATCCACTTTCTGCTTGCTCATCTTTTACCTCTGCTCCTTCCATATCAGATCGTCTTCACAAACATTCCCACGTAAGTTTATCGCCACATCCTTGTACTTCCTCTACCAAAGTTCAAATTCACACGCCTCCCATTCCCAGTTCCTCAATCAGTACTAAGGAAAATTTTATAGGTATGTAGTGCTTTTATATATGTACATTCATCTTATTTATTATTGTGTTACATATAAATCATTTTTGTAGGTACACCATCAAGGAAAACCAGAATAAGATGTCCACTCCCTCCCTGCTCCTCTGTTTTTTCTAGGTACACAAGTTTATACGATCATATTGAGTTTTATCACAAAACTACAATTGATTATGAACAGTTTGTGTTTCAAAACATTAAAGGTTTGAAGTTTTTTCTTTCAGTCCAGGCCCAGGTGTGTCAATCAAATATTAATAATTGGTTTGGATTGCATGTTACTTGACATTCTTTGTTTTGTTCAGCTTTAAATTTAAATTTTTGGTGTATGTGGCATTTAGCATCAAGAAAAAATGCACAAACTTTCTAATATTTAGAAGCAATTATCAACAATAACACTGCATGACAAAAGTGACACTTTTTGGTATTATATGTTCCATTTTTTCGCAACAGCTTTAATTTTTGAGTTTGATAGATTAATGTACAATGAAGTTATGGCTAGATGCCAGGATCTAGCCATAATTAATAAAACAAAAGTTATCTAAGCTCGACGTGATTTTTAGTACCAAAGGCAGCAAGAATACAGTCACCCTTAAACAATTACCTATGAAGTTCAGTGAAGAAGAACAAAACTCCAATTGCCTGGAGCCCAGAATTTCTTAAGGCTTTTGATGACATAAAGAAAGCACTTGTAAATGCAGCACTACTTCTATATCCAGATGCTTCAGCCAACATTTGCTTGGTGACGGATGCCTCTACAACAGCTATTGGTGCTACCCTGGAGCGGGAAGAAAATGGTGCCTGGCAACCAATTGGTTTCTACTCCAGACAACTAACAAAAACAGAACAGAAGTATTCAACATATGATCGAGAGCTACTTGGCATATTTGCTGCTATAAAGTTAATGTCAAGGTGAAGAATGATAAAACCAGTGTTGAGAAATGGTTTGAGAATAATAAAACTAGCAGCATTTACAAAATTTTATATTCTAAAGTCGATAGATCAATGTACAATGAAGATACACACAAACACTACACTAAACACAAACATTTCCACATTGAACATAATAGAAAGAAGAAATTGAGAGAAAGAGAGAAGAAATGAACTGCCAATCGATATTAAGAATACCAATGATGACAATAATTTCAAAAGGTCAAAAGTTTTAAGTCTTACATTTGTATCCAGTTATATCTCAAAAATTAGAGCTGTCTACGAATTACTTAAAAACCATCAGAACATCTCATGAAAAAATCTATTGTCACGCGGTGTAATTGATTCATCAAGTTGTGTAAAACTGTCCGCTATGCAATAACTTAGCATTTAATAAATAAAATCTAGTTCATGCAATGTCCAATCATAACTATATATATATATATATATATATATATATATATATGTATATATATATATCACTTAATATATTTTTTACCGCTTATGAATTATTGTCGGTCTCGTTGCAGCAGGATGACATTCATGCGAATATTTATTTATTGCATTTTATTATTATTACTAATTGTGTTTCTAAATGTATTATAATTTACTGGTGATGATTGTATCCTATATCATTTTATTATCATTAGAAAAAAATTGTGTTTTTAAAACCTTTCATATAATTTATTAATCACTGATGATTGTAATTTATTAATACACCACTTTTACTTATTGTAGTAACAAATTAAAATTCATTACAAATTGTTATGACAAGTTATGTGTGTTTTGTATTTAAACCTGTAGACATGTGTGTTTTTTCTACATTTATTGATTTGATTTGATCCCAGCATATATCATAATATATACTCTTGATTGAAATATTCTTATTATTACTTAATATTTTTTTAATTTATTATTATATTTTCAGAAATTTTAATATAATTGCGATGCAAAATTAAAATTCTAACAAATTAATTTTAAAATTAATTTTTTTTATTTTAGTACAATATTTTTAAAGTACAAATATTTTTTTTTCAAATATTAGCGCTTCAATTTGAATGGCGATTGAAGCGCCATTGCAATATAGCGCCCGTAGCAATAAATTTTTTGAACCAAAATATCGCGAGAATGAAACGTCTATATTATTATATTGTCTAGGGGTCATTATAAACAAATCGCAAAAGACTGCTTTCATTATGGACGTGACGGTGGCGTTCGTTAAGCCAAGCACTCAAGCATTCGTTACCTCAAACACGTTAAAAACAGGTGGCTCGTGTGTGCTCTATTTCATCTACAAATCGTTCAGCTTCGTGCAAGTGGAGCAAACACGCGAGGCTGTCAAATATTTGATCTCTGTACCAATAACCTAAAATTGTAAACTCTTGTTGTTTCTAATTAATTAATTGTGTTTAAGTGAACGTTTAAGTGAAATTTAATATGGCAAAATGTTTTTATAGTACCCAAAAAAGTGTCAAGTGCGAGTTAAAATATTCAGCTATTCCAATACCAGTTCCCGCAAAGGTATTTTTTTATAATAATTGCAGCAATAATTATATATAATCAAATATGATATTTCAATATGTTATTATATTGAATAGGTGTCTTGGGAGTACCTGCAAATTGCTGCAAAATGTACGAACAAAGCGCAGAAGTACTTTTGACAACCAAGGAATGCAAGATGTAATGACATGAAGGATTCATAAACAATGCAATAATTTAAGGAATAAGTCGTACAAATAGTCTCCAAAGGTCTACTATTTTTGAAGACAAATATTTATTTTGCCATGTCCTCAAACATTGTGAAAGATAGATTCGTGATTCGTGATAGATTCAAAGATACGATAGTATAGCGGTATTAATGAGTGTCTATTTAAAACATTAGGTTCAGCTATTTCTGAATTTCAGGCATAAAGACAGTACCACCCAAGACAGCACCGCTGACTGAATTTCAAAATCAGTTGATAAAGACAGTACCACCCAAGACAGCACCGCTGAAGAAAAATCAGTTGAAAAAATATCTCCCAGTATCATAAAGGCAGAACTGAAATTAAAGATTATTTGCTACATCCGAAAGAGACAACAAAAATAAATTTTCTATATCAGTTTTTGAAAACGAACGTGATTCAATTTCAGACCATGAAGACATCAAAAATATTCTGCGAGAATGTCACTACCCTTTTTTGCAGCAAAACTTGTGTAAAAAAATCACAATAACTGGGCTCCATCGATCAACATCTGAGGCAGAAACTTGCGAAGACTTGCAGCTGAAAGGAGCCAAAGTTAAACAAGTGATACAAATAAAAAGGAAACAACCAGATGGTAGTCAATATAAGCTGCCCATATACATAGTGGTAGTGGATAAAAATGAGGACATGTCGGAGCTAAAACGGATCACAAATATTGGGCGACATATCTTCTCCTGGGAGGCCTATAGGCCGCAGAATAGAGCGCTGCAGTGCCACAAATGTTTAAACCTTGGTCACACATCGTACACCTGTGACCTAAAGTACAGGTGTATAAAGTGCCTCAATGTGCACGCGCCAGGAGCGTGCCAGAAACTAGCACATGAGGCACCGATTTAAAAGTCGGTGGTTGAAATTCAGTTGAACTGACAAGAAATAATTAAAACAATATTTGAGCAATATGTTCATAAAACATAATTAGCTGCTCTTTGTTCTTAATAAATAAGGAAAGTAATTAGAGGTGATTTGAAGTATTGTTACAATTTATATTAATAATCACAATATTTTCAATTCATAACTTTCTATTGTTTTTACTTCAAGTGTAATTAAAGTGTGAATCGAGTTAGAATTATTATGTTTTTGGTATGGTTGAAAGGACTGCCTAGCTGTCAATAACTTGAAAATAATGAATATTATTAGAGGTAATGTTACAAAAAATTTAAATCAATATTATCAATAAACAATTTGTAGAAATTGTTTCTAACCTGTTTGGTTCTGTTTTAGATACGCAGTGAAATGTTTTCAATTCGACAAACAAAGGTTTACTTTAGCAAAAATATATTTGAAAATTTAAAGACTAAAATCTTTTTTGATAAATTAATTGAATGAAGAATTAATATGTTTTTGGTATGGTTGAAAGGACTGCCTAACTGGCAATAACTTGAAAATAATGAATATTATTAGAGATAATGTTACAAAAAATTTAAATCAATATTATCAATGAACAATTTGTAGAAATTGTTTCTAGCCTGTTTGGTTCTGTTTTAGATACATTTACAAACAGAAAGCAGTAAAATGGTTTCAATTTGATAAACAAAGGTTGCCAAGAACTTTACACAAGACTTATTTTCAATGGTTGAAATTTTATAATCAAAATAAAACAGTTAATTCTATCTTGTTAAGTAGAAATTTGTTAGCATTGTTAATTTTTGTATTAGTTTAATCAAATTTTTAAAATTTTAATTTACGTTCTGTAGTTTTGTAATTATAAGTATATATTATGTAAATTTTGTAAATTCTTAATTAAAATATGAAATAAAATTAATATAAAAAATGGTTTTTATATTTACAGCAAATTTTATTAAATATCTAAGTAACATCAAAGACACCTACACGTTTATTTTGTGATTTGGAAACAATCACGAAACCGCTACGTTTTCGCTCAATTTGAAAACGTAACAAAAACGAAACCGTTACGTTATAGCGTAACGTAACAGGTCGTTACGTTTTTGAGGCGGAAATAGAAACGTCTGTGTGCCTCCTAGGTTACGTAACCGCTACGTTTGACGTAACATCTGTTACGTTATATAAACATTTTAATTACGTTTCATGGTTTACTGGGACGTGACCACCGAAACTTTAAGAACCTCGAATACCTGACACACAATACGGTTTCAAGAACACTACACCCACTGACACAACTCATAGAAAACACAGTTTTCAATTTTAATAGACGAAACCATACCGGATTGTTGTTTCTCAACTTTGAGAAGGCATTTAACACCATCTGGTTAGACAGACTTATTTATAAACTCATCCAACTCAACTTTCCACCTTACATTACAAGAACATTACACTCATACCTCTCAGACCGCAACTTCATCGTACAAGTAGACAACGGACTTTCGACGGTTAAACAAGTGACGGCGGGAATACCGCAGGTCACGATCCTAGGACCGTCTTTGTTTAATGTCTACATTCACGACATACCCAGTGACGCCGACACAACGTTACTGACGCTTGCTGAGAACACTGCCATATACAAATCATCACGATCACCTGCGCTACTGACTACAAAGATACAGACAGATGATGTATAAAGTACCCAAGGGTAGAAAAATATGTACTAAAAGTAACAATGCAAAATGTATGCTCAATTACTGTAATAAATACTTTCGTCTGTCTATCTATCAAATACCGATTTAGCTGATACTTGGGGGGATGATTGGAGAGATCATCGGACTCGATCTATAATACTCAAGCCGATCAGAAATTCATAAGATCGACTTCGTATATCGATCTGAACAGTAGCATCGGTTATACTTATATTGCGTTTTTAAACAAAGCGCAAATTGTCAGGAGCTTGCTCCGCTTCCGTCACAAAATTATAAGATGGTAGTGCCTTCTGCTACTTTCTTGCCAAATTCCGGGTTGGAATTGATAATGGTCTGAAAGTAAGCACATTTGGAAGTGTTTTTCAAAATTTTTAAGTCAGTACAGTATTTTTTGCATTAATAAATTCAGTGCGCATCGTAATACAATCGCCATAATTCCCGGGCGGGAGCCTCGGAAAATGTCGCAAGACATGGACGTCTTGACGAGCACTTTGGTTTTGCTAACCGTGTACATATGGATCCCATTTAGGACATAGGGTATATTAAAAATCTCAATTAATAGCCGAAATTTTATATTATTTAATTAAAAAGCATTTTGACATTTTACCATAGTTTGAGTTCTGTCGAGAGTCTACCACTCTAGAGCAAAGACCATAGAGCCACGAATGCAACGAACGATTAGAATCAGG